AAAATATTTTGAAGTCAAAGTCATATCAAGACTCTGTTAAAGCTATTGTGATTGACGAAGCACATCTAGTGGAAGAATGGTAAGAATTTATTTTAATATAATACTGAGTTTTAAATTATAATATGGTTGAGGTGCAAAACATGTAAAAAAAAACATTCAGATTGAGCCTGAACTATAATTATTATATAGCAAGTTTCAAAGTTCACTTTTCCTATAGTTTTATTGATCGAGGGTATGTCAAGTTAGAGTCAAGAAATTAAAATTAAGCTGTCTCCCTCTGACTTTCCAGCGAGCATAGGTCTCTAGAGCACTGGAGTCAGCAGGGCACCCTTGGAGAGACTCCACAGACTCAATGGGTAAAAGAGTAGGAAGCATGATGATTGTGCATTGCAGCTGGACTTATTAACCATTAACATATCTTTTTCTTGTTTAGGAAAAGTTTTAGACCTTGTTATGCGAAAATTGGTATGCTGACAAGTATTTTTCCCAAGATCCCATTTTTGGCAATGACAGCAACTGCCACGTTGCAGATGAAAAAGGATATTACAACCAGTCTAGGATTGATCGATCCAAAACATATTGAGATAAGCCCTGATCGTCCTAATATCTTCTTCAGCTCTTTGCCAAGACCTGATAGAGGGGATGATAAGCTTCAACCTATATTAACTCTCCTTATTGCAGAATTAAAGGTAAAACGGTTGGATTTCCCTCTGACATTAGTTTATGGCAACTTGCAAGTTATTGGAGAATGTTTTTTTGTTTGCAAGCAATATGATGGGGCCTTTGCAATATGAACCAGTACAATCTAGCAAACATTCAGCTAACAGACTATTCACACAGTTTCATGTGCAATATCCAGAACATGAATGGGAAAGGATTATACAGGATCTGGTAAGTGGTAGTCCAAGTTAAGGCTACTATTTGTCACTGTGGCGTTTGGTATTGGTGTTGATGTCCATGACATCCATAGGATTATTCACATTGGAGTCCCTCGTACAATTGAGGAATATTTTCAAGAAGCTGGTAGATGTGGACGAGATGGACTTCCAGCATCTTCCACAATATATTACAACTCATATGATTTAGCATCATCTTGTAACATTTCACCTCACATGAAAGAGCTTGTAACTGTGGCAGATAAATGCAAAAGGGAAATAATTTTCGATTACTTTGGTTACAAAGTAGCAAATTGGATTAAACCAGAGCATACTTGCTGTGATTTTCATCAACAGAAATGTAGCTGTGATGACTGTGTTTGAGTTCAGCTGCTGAAATGTTAGAAAATGCTGATTCTGGTGTATTGGATCCATCTGTTATTAATGATCCTGACTACATGGAAGCTGTGGAAGAAAGATCTCTTTCTCTTACAACTAAGCAAAAAGATTTGCTAAAGGGATACTTATTGAATTACAGGCAGTTCCTTCATGGCTATGGAAAGAGTTGTGTTGGAAGTGTTGGATTATCCACTGGGTTTAGTTTGGAGCTTGTTGACACAATTATTGCTCATGCTAGTGAGCTGACATCACTTGATGAGGTAAAAGCTAAACTGCCATTATTTGATGATGACCATGCTTCTGTAATTTTTGAAATTTTAAGGAGTATCAAAAACACTTAAATTATAAACACAAACTTAGATAATAGGGAGCTTTAGCAGAGAGTACATAGTCGTTCAAATGTTGCTTTTATAGTTGTGGACAAACAACGAAAGAAAAAGTCCATATAAACTAAATCTCCTGCAGGTTAAAATCCCCTACAAAATGTGCAAATAAGTCATAACATTAAAAACAAGCCAGATATTTAATACTAATAGATTATTTATGCCGGATAAATGCTACATGCAAATTATTTTTGAAAAACAAAAAAAGCCAGCTTTCTTTTCCACAATCTTGTACTCAGATGGGCAACAGCTATGACTTTTTCGCGTCAGTACGGTATGGCGTAAGCATACAGCATGCATTTCGCTTGACAAATCTCATACTCATACTGACATACTTGTAGTCGCTGCTAAAACTCCTTAATAATACAATATAGATTGACATATGGGCATACTGTATATGCCTGGGTATATGTCAGGCAATTCTTGGGTTTGACTACAGCATTTTGCAGTTAATCTAGGGGGGGGGGGGGATCAACCTAAAATGTATTCATGTTTATGCTGTATTGGAGTGAGCAAACGATACAAAATTGCATGTATTTGCCACCAAACACAAGGCCAACAAATACAGTGAACAATTATTTCACTCTGATGACTGTGTCTCGAGTTACCCTCCCCCTCCTGTCAAATTTATGATGTCATATGAAATCCAAGAATTGTGGTATATTGATCATTCTTGATATTTTTAACCATTAAGATGCAATTCAAGGCCATATAATTTTACTCAGTTATTAAATGAAGAGTTTTGTGTAAGCTTATATAGGCAGTTGCAATATATCGATATTTTCGATAAATATCGAAAGTTGTAACTAATCAACTTAATCTCTGATTATTTGGCAATTATTGTTTTTGTCGGTGAAGTTTAGACACTTATTTATGATATAAGTGCGTAGGCAACTGAAATTAAAAGCTGAGTTGGAGATGACAAATAAACCGTTGTTAATAAATGTTTGAGACGTACCATGACTGGTTTCATGCACTTCTTTTTAACTGTTTGTGATGCATATACATGCAAGTTGACTAAATTATGTTTTCTCATTTGCATAATTCAATGTAGTCTATATTATCTCTATTTTTTTTGGTATCAATGTATTGATTTTTTTCAATATCGCAACTACCTAAGTGTATAATGGGTTAAATATTGGTTACTATCAAGGTGGCACAACCAGGCTTTGCAAGAACATAGAACCTTATTAACCCACATCTGCTAGTAAAATTGTGTGGCGCTAGACAGAGTAACTGTAAAATAATAAATAGACTTTATTATTTTACTCAATCTGTATAATGCCAGACAATTTTACTGTCAAGGGGAGAGTGAAGAATAATATCCAAATGTAATGCAATACCCTATAACTCACCCTGGTTTTTATTAATATTAGGCAAGTAAAACTGCCATTTCTTCTTCACTTTTACTAAGCTGATCATCTGTTTCATCATCCTGTTGGATTGTTTCATGAGCATCATCTTCCGCATCATCACTTGATGCAAATGCGTTCTCAAATAGCTTTTTTTGTTGCGACTTAACCAGTTGTGCAATGCGGTCACATCTAATTTCTCAAGTGGGCTTTTGGGAATATTGGGAAAAGAAAGCAGTACCCTTCCAGGTTGTTCATGAAAAGGTTTGACTCTTTCTAATACATTGATCATTTCCTGGATGATCTTGGTAGAACTGGCATGTGTATGTTTGCTAGAGTCAGATGGTACTTTGCTTTCTTTGTCAACCACCTCCACCACATTTTTCAATCCATATACTGCATTAGTGCTTCTCTGAACCGCTTTTAAGGTTTTGTTTCCACACAATCCCTTTAAAATAACTTTACGGTCTTTTACCAACGTTTCCATCTTTAAATCATTGGAATAGTTGTTTCCAGAACCTCCTTTGCCGTTGATGAACTGTCCATGGATAATTCTATGAGCCATTTGTTCAGTGAATAAAGCTTTGGTACATGTAAGCAATCGCATGGCTTCAAATGCATATTTCATGCTTCGACTTCGCGATCTGAAGTACAGCATTAATAATTTCCAGTTCATGAGACATCGCTCACTGTCCCCTTCCTTCTCCGTATCATTCAGTTGCATTAGCATAATACCCAACTGAATACATTGCATAGTTCATAAATTGGTCATCATTCGCAGGTTGTTCTGACTCAGTATTTTCATCGGCGAATTCATCAATATCATTTCCAGATGTGGACTGGGAGATTTGCTGTGGTACGGCGAGGTTGGTTTTAGGCCATAAAACAACTTGTCCTACTTTTACAAGTGTTGACGCTGAATTTCCGACTGCAAGGACTTGTAGTAACACTTTGTCTGTTGGTTGATCTGTAGTAGATGCAGAAGACTCACCTACTTTGCTCATACCAAGGTACTGATAATCTCTCTGAGCTACATCGCTTGCACATACCATTATGACGATCTCTCCTATGATAGTAACATGATAGCAAATTGGTAAATTGTGCATTTTTAGTCGATATATTTTTTTGGATCATTAGATTTAAAATAGGAAAAGAAACAAACACGTCTTAATAATTATAGGCTCAATTTGTACCAAAAGAGAGATCATCCGTTAAGACGCATCACCCATCTTTAAGTTAGTATAACATAACATGACTCATGATCCTTCTGGATGAACTTGGATGAAGAAAAGACATTAATGAATGTAGCGACGTAGTGAACAGGCATATCATCAGTCAATACAAACTACAGTACTGTATTTAAAAAAATTCGACAATTTTTCTGTTACTTTAGTCTTTATGTACACATATTAATTTAATAAGTTGTAATATTTTCTCTCTTATGTACCCTTTTAGGTTAGGGAAGGTTCGTGATTTGTTTAATAAATGTCTTTAAAAGAATCGTTACTAGTTACATTGAAGTAGATGTTGTGTGACTATAGGACAACGAATTGTTGCTGATCAAATGGCTGCAGGTGAAAATGCTCTTACCTGTATTGAAAGTCTGCTCATGATGAGCACTTCCATTTCTTGACTGTCGCTCTTGGCTTTCTTTTACCTTCTGGATTTCTTCCATCTGAACTTTTTCAATATCAAATTCTGATAGAACGTACTGCTCCACAAAATTGACAATCTGTGAATCAACAAATTCCTTTTTTTGGACTTTCTGGACCACGTAACCAGATCAAATTTTAATTTATGCTCAAGATTCCTTTAAAAGACAATATTTGCAATGAAACCACAAGGAATTCGTAAATAAATCATTCGGCACTGAGCATGCCAAGTTTCGTAACATTTAGCATCGGCAAATTACATTGAGTTTTTATCTCCAATATGGAGTTCGGGTACCTGAATTTGGTTTACTGGTGGTTAATGTTGTCCGTTCTTAATAGAACTAATTATCTACAACGCAAGAACGTTTCTTTAAATGTTTCTTGTGGTTTAGGCAAAAATTTTTGCTTTTGGGCATAAATAAAAATTAATTTTAGTCACGTGACGAGTAACACAATTGCTGGTTATTTAAAACCAATGTGGTGCTGGAAATCAAAATTTCTAAATTTTTACTCAAAACACCATATTGCACCTGTTTTCCTGTCACCTCAACATAAAAGATGTCTATATCACATTCTGGGGCCGGTTGTATAAAACTCTTAATCACTATTTTGTAGCTCATGCTTCATCCCATTCAAATGAATCAAGTACAGAAAGGGCATGCCTTATGGGAAAGAATACGCCTATGGCTGACGATTCACAAGTTGAGCAGTACGTGCAAAGTGAACCGTTTAAAAATGATTCACTGAAAGTAAAGCCTTCTTTTTTTTGAAAATAAAGCAGCTCCATCTCAACCTTATTTAAAAGTATACCCAGCAACGCGTTTTGGAAATAAAATAAGGCGGTTCAAATCGGACTGGTACAGTGCATATAAATCATGGTTGGAATATAACGAAGAGTTGGATGCTTGTTTCTGTTTTACTTTGTAGGCTATTTCTACCAAATCCAACGGAGACGGCTTTCACTAAAACTGGTTTCTGTGATTGGAAACACGCCAAGGAGAAAGGAAAGGGTTTTCAGCAACATCAATCCTCGAATGATCATTTGAAATCAATGGAGATTTATGACGAAAGGAAAATGCGAAATTTACAAGGTTCCACGGTCGTAGCTTCTCTCGTTTCACTTAATACTGACCAAAAGCAGTGGTTGTTTGCTGTTTTCAATGTATCAAGATACTTGTGTGCAAATTCCCTCCCATTTCGTGGTACGAATGAATCTGACATTGATGCAGCAGATGGTTTGTTTTTAAGAGCATTTTCTCAACTTTTGTTCCCATTGGAAGAAAAATGGAAGAAAATCCAGAAAAATATTCCAAAAAACGCCAAGTACACTTCTCCTGATATACAGAACGAAGTGATCGAAGTTTTAGCTTCCTTAGTGAAAAATAAGATTGCTGAGGACGTACGTAGAGCAGAATTGTTTACCATTATGGCGGATGGTACTACTGATAAAAACCGAAAGGAAATCCAAGGCCTTGTTTGCCGGTATTTATCTAACAAAGGGAAAGTAGAGGAACATTGTTTAAACGTAAAAGGAATCGACGATCGCTCTGCTAAAGGTATTTTTAATTTTATTACAGAAACCTTAGCAGAATTTGAAATTTCTGTTGACGGTCTTGTATCACAGTCTTTTGATGGTGCTAGTGTAATGTCTGGAAACTATAACGGATTACAAAGGCTTGTTAGTGATTTCTGTGATCGATACATTTTATATGTTCACTGCTTTCTACACAAAATCCATCTTGTTGTGACATACATTATGGAAAATCTTGATGAGATAAAGGAATATTATGGCACAATAACGGCGCTGTACAATTTTTTCAAAAAATCAGCTGTCCTTGAATCATATGATGGCACTGCACTGAAACGACTCATTGAAACGCGTTGGTCTGGTCATTACAATAGTACCAGTCAAGTAAACAAGAATTACGGTGATCTGATTCAAGCTCTTATAGTGCCGTCAAAACAATAAGTTATCCGTGGAGGACAAAGCGCAGGCAATCGGACTTCTTAATCAAATGGACGATGACGAACACCATTAATTTATTTTCATTAATAAGATGTTAATGAACGTGTTAAAACCAATTGATATTATGGTCAAACAACTGCAATCCGTCAATGAAAACTTCATTTCAGCACTTGAAGTAGTTAAACGTGTTAAAGATGATATAAAATCGGAATGCCACACTGTCACGAACGAGAAGACTAAGAAGATGGTTGATGAATTCTTGGAAGATGTAAAGGTTTCAACATCCAGTGGAGAACAACATCGACCTAAGAGAAACACTGCGATTCCATCTCGTTTTGATGATTTTCTTGTTACTGAAAGTCTGCCAAGTGAGAACACCAAACATCCAAACATTCAAATTTTCATAGAATGCTTGGATTTACTGAATGCTGAATTCAGTCAGCATTTTTCCACTGAAAACATTGCACTGTGGGAAGCTATGTCAGCATTATCACCATCTGTCATTATCTTGAGTATGACATTCTCAAGCCTTTGTTTGAGTATGGTACTACGATTCCTGTGTTGAGAGACTTCTATTTGAAAGAAAAACTTGCAACAAAAGATCTGGAAGCTGAATGCAGAATATTCGCTCGTGTGTTTAAAGAAAAGGAATGGCCAAAAAATGAAAACGAGAAAATTGATTTAAGTGAAGTTGCCATAATTGTCATAAATAATCACCAGAAAGGAGCTCCAATACTATCTTCTTTGTACAAAGTTGCTGTATTATTATTATTATTATTACTATTTAGTTGTTACTGCAGGCCTAATAAATGCTTAATTTCCATTTTGAACGGCTGTGAAACATGATATACAGTACTACAGCGACCGTAGAAGATTAATACTTGAGGCTCATAGTCATACTCAATTTTTGTATGAAAATAGTTTGCTTGTGGCCTAAAATAAATAACCTCATTGTTAGAAGCTAGGCTAGATAGCAGACGGCTGAACTAACCCTATACAGAACTTTAAAGACTCACAAAATTAAGCACAAGTATAATACTTTTACAGTGTAGAAGAACGTTCCATTCGATCCCAATTTTTCTGAGCTGGAAAGGAAAACTAGCTGTCAGAGGCGCCGGAATATCGATAATTGGGGCAGATACTCATATATTCGTGTTCTGCCCAATTAATTTCTTTTGAAATCGATTGTTTTTACAATCTGTGAACACGAATATATGAATATCTGCCCCCGCTATTATCGATATTCCGGCGCCTCTACTAGCTACTAGCACAAAAAGTCAAAATCATTCCAACCCCTCTGTTGCATTCTTTCTGCGGTGCCCCCCCCCCCCAGAAATTGAGAGCCAGCTACGGGCTTGTTGCTTGGGTCCTTTTCTTTTACTACTTGGTTTAGAAGATCTTGCTCAATGGGTTCTTCAACATCAACTGAACTGGAACTAATATTAGAATGTTAGGGTTTGTAATCCAAGTGATTATATACATTTTAAGACCTGACCAGGAATGACTGCGAAAAATGCAGCACAAGGTCCTCTGGTAGGAATGGAACCTACGGCCCTCTGGTAGGAATTGAACCTACAGCACTTCACTTGGTGGAATTAATATTAGAATGTTAGGGTTTGTAATCCAAGTGATTATATTACCTATATATACATGAACTTATGGTTACAGCTCAACAGCTGGCCACTGTAGCTCAGTTGGTTAGAGTGCTGCACCGGAATCGCAGGGCTGTAGGTTTCAATTCCTACCAGAGGACCTTGTGCTGCATTTTTCGCAGTCGTTCCTGGTCAGGTCTTAAAATGTATATAATCACTTGGATTACAAACCCTAACATTTATATATAAATCCCACCAAGTGAAGTGCAATCAACCATATCATTCAAGTCCACCTTACCACAACCTGCACACCCAATTACCTATATATACATGAACTTATGGTTACAGCTCAACAGCTGGCCTCTGTAGCTCAGTTGGTTAGAGCGCTGCACCAGAATCGCAGGGCCGTAGGTTCAATTCCTACCAGAGGACCTTGAACTGGGCTTAACTGCTTGAACATTGTTGATTTTTCATTGTCGTGCCTGACTTGCTGTACCAAATTTCTTTTGTCTCTCTGTTTCAGTTGATACAATTATGTTCATTTGTTCAATTAGCAATTCATCCGTTATATCTGGTTGTTGTAAGAATGGTCGTAACTTTGTTCTTACAGCTTCATGATGAAGTCCAGTCTCGAGCGAGTGTAAAAACAGTCCTTGAACAAGACTTTCATCATATGTGATCTTTACCCCTGCTTCTTTAGAGGCAAATAAAACCTTTTGATGTAGGTCCAGAGCTCTTATCAGGAAACTCTGTGGACTCTCTTCAGGTGATTGTACAATTGTTGTTAATTGCTGGTAAAGTTCAGTTGCACTTTTCTCCTGAAAGTGTGATCTTAAAATAGCACATAACTTTGGCAATGTCAGGTCACTAACTGTCTCAAGATAACTTTGCAGCTGCATACTAGGAATAATTGCTCTTATACACCATCAATCACTTCTGTTTCTGAGTAACCCTTAGACGATGCACTTTCGATCTGTCTGACCAAGCTTACAAATGTGAGTTTATCCTTTTGACCGGGTTCCCCTATTTGACCATTAATCTTGAATTCCCTACGTAATACACTTTTAAGATCATTTGTGGTTGGTTTACTTACACTTGTCGCTGTCGCTTTCAGTTCACTTTCTTCCATCTTACTTTTGAGGGCTTCGACTTGATTTTGATGATCTTTTTCCATGTTGTCTAGTTGCTGTTTTAAAACTTCAAGTTCCTTGTTTCCAATCTCCTTTGGAGGGGCTTCTTTATCAGTAATCTCAATCAACTGGATTTTCTTGAGAAATACACAGCATTGATTCTCATCTTCAATCTGGGCTACTTGCTCCTCAATTTCTCTTTCAAGTAGTCGAGTAATACTAAGTTTTGATTTTCCTTGATATTTCACCTCGTCCAATTTGAGAAACACTGCTAGTTTAATCAATATATCTTTGCTTACTTCACACAATACCTTTTCTAATTGTAGCTGAAGCTCTTCCAAGTCCATTTGGCTATTTAAACTTTAGCACAATCACAAAAATTATCCAAGATTCATACAGTACGAACTATTTCACGAATATTTATGTACACAAAACTTATCGTTTTTCCTTCATTTTTCCATCAAAATCGCATATTTACTTGTAATTATATCCCACCGCTGCCACCAAATGTTACCCTGGGTTTATTTCCATGAAAATACACGATTCTATTTACGATTTTATACAAACAAAACACTTTTATTCATCAAATATGAAAAGAACCATGCTCTCTTAACAGTTTTCTTTCGTATGGCCTTATGGGTCACATTTGGCACAGGGTGCCCTAATTATTATCCGGGTTACACAATCATATATTGAAAGATCGGAGCGTTTTGCAGTTTGTAACGATTGATCCAACTGCTTCCTAGGCTATCTATGCTATTATTTTATATACCACCCTTTATATAATGTATTCAAATGTAAATTGGTGTGAGCCCCCTAGATGAGCTTATATCTCTGTTGGGGCAAACACATAAATATGTTTAAATTAAAAGTTACTAAGAAGGCTTTCATGGTTAGTTGTCATGTTGTCTTTTAATTCTGATATGTCTTGCTGACTGTATTCCAAACTGCTTTCAAGATTCATTATATCTTTGCTGAACTTGATTTAGATTCTCAATGGCAGAATTTGGGTTTTCAAAGACTCAGCCTGTTTAGAAATGGCCAAGTCAAAATAAGACTTCAAATGATCGATTTGAATTTTAATAAGCTTCTCAATGATACTTGAGTTGATAGAGATATCATTCACATCATCATGATGAATTAGCACTCAATTGAATTTCCACATATGAGCTCGACTAATAAACCAAACAAAGTATATATCAAAAGAAACCTCAAAACATAATGTTTATCCACATACCTGTTTCTTCAGACATTTCTCAATAGAAAACATTGTATTTAGCGTTTTAAAATTGATTTTGAAAATCAGAGTTTTCAACCATGAAATTCGAAGAGAAACACATGTGACGACAATCTTCAGGCCTTTGGCGGTTAAGGGGGTACTATTTTCAACTCGATTTCAGGTTGGGCTCATGTGTGGAAAATCGCTTAAAGAGGCACTGGTAGTTCAGTCAAAATGTGCCACCTAATTTCAATGGCGGCCTAAATTGTAACGTAACTACAGAGCACTAGACTTCCAAAATACACTCTTCTTGTAGAATCTTGCATTAAAATCTTGCAATCTTTCATGTAACATCACAACAAAAGTAGCATATAGTTAGTAAAATTCCGATAGAAGGCATATAAACTTGATACGAAAATGTCACATTATCCGACACTCTATACACAGAAACCTCACGTAAATAAACACAGTTTTTTGATATTGTATACGCTTCACAATCGATAATATGCGTAATACGCTTCACAATTGATAATATGCGTAATACGTTTCATAATCTCTTTTCGATATTGATTCACATAACGTTGTTCCCCACTCGTTAACTGATTATGTTGTCTCGCAAACAAACTTTCAAGATACTCCCCCATTTTTCAAATTGTACAAAACTGAGAAAAATAACACCACACACAACATTTTAATGCAAAAATTAATAACCCCTGCACAATAACAATCATCCACATCATAACATTCACAATTCTGCTTTACAAAACATGCATTACCATTTAATAATTTAACATAATGAATAAACTGTTCGATAAAATACTTAGAAACTAATACACTATGTCGTTCGGCAAACCTAAACTATCTCGTACAATACAACGTTTTTTTATTACAACAATATTCCCATTTCACTACAATATGCGTAAGATGATGTTTAGTATTATCTTCAATGTCTACTAATGTTACATCCCACGATTTCATAGGTTTATCCGAAGATGTGCATTGTACATACATCCAATAAGCGTTTGATAAATACGTTCGTAAAGCATAATGGGTGATACTTGAAGAACAAATTTCTTTTTGTATTGTACAAGTTCATACATTTTCTTATCGTCCTTATCATGCTATGGGGGTAAAAAACACCACATCATCACACCATAAATGTGCGTCACCAAATGTTTGGGGTATAATATTTACACAACCCATCACAACTACAATACTGTTCCTCGTAATCAGTATATTGCCACAAATTATCCTGAACAGTTCGACATTGACAACCTGCACACATAAACATATGTACTTGCATAACAAGTTTCTGCTGATATCTTAATACATTTGCCAAACGATACGATGGGTACATATTAACGTGCTGTAAACATTTTTGTCTCAACGCATCAGCTGTATAGTATGCACATCTATGTACGTAATGAAAAAAACGACTCAAATTTCGTACGAACAATAATGACTCTCATAGGGTTCCTCCGGTTCGTGATTTAAAAGTTTAACACGTGAACTAACTTCACTGTAGGGTAAACGCCACTTTTTATCATGTGTAACATACGCTGAATACGTTGGGTAGATATGAAAGTAAAATTTAATAATGGCATAAATACCGCGACTCCAACAAATAAATCCAACCGTAACTACACGTAACCCGTCTTGCTGGAAAGCCAAAAAATAATAATAGACATAGGGAAACTGAATTATACTACCGTTATTTATAAGAACAACACACTGTCTATCGCCCACTAATTTTATATCAATACTCTTCATTAAAGTTATGAAGCAAATTAATTTTGCATCTTCCAACTCCTTGCTGACAACACGTTGATCTTCATTTTTACCAATATATTTGTTCTGTGCTTCGACTTTAACATGTAACCATATATCTTTACCCAAAATTATTTCTTCATTTGCCATACACGCATCACATACTCATATAATGTTTTAATAAACACCTGTGAAAATAAGATACCCATATCTCATTTAATATTTCTCAAAAAAAACTTTCATAATGTAATAATTCAGCCCGCTCCAGATAAATACTTATTAATCGTCGAATAACTAGTGCAAATCTAATACTACTTGCATTCGGTGTTTGTACACTCCAAACATTGTGTATAATTGAAAGATACATTCGCCGACCCAAAGTTTTATCACCGTTCACAGCGTAAACATTAAAAGTCATACCAATCTCATTACCGCTATAACTGATCTCTCGTAATAATACATATTCACGAATATTAGCATAATAAACCTCTTCAACTATTCAACTATAATATCACATCGTTGAGAAACAATAACTCCGGACAGTATTGAAGAATCACATTCATTCTCTATTAACCCTCGAATAATCCAATCATGTTTATTAAATTCAAACCTCTGTTTTCTTGACATCATCACATAGACGAATTAGAAAATCGGAAGAAATTAAAACGCCTGTTTGATCTGCAATCTTTTGTATTCTACACATAATACTCGCTTTATTGTCATTTTTTGTTGTGACATAACGCAGACTCAAAAAGACTGTGTCTAATTTCAAGATCTAAAAATGGGGTGTTACAAAATTCACGATTATCACCACCGAAGATAATAGATATACCCAATCGATGACTATGGAGCGTACTGTTTGAAATGTCTACCAATATTATTTTATAAAAAGCTGTAAAAATTCCCAACCTATAACTTTCATGATACAAAACATATGTTATTGCTCTGTATAAATGATCATTATAATACCAATCCAACGAGCGATTCAAACGCCAATGTTGATTTGTAGATATAAATAAAATCTCTGTTGAAAGAGAACGAAATGCTAACACCTGAATACGTTTATCAAACTCACCTAAATTCTCAGAGTCCATAGCATTGTAAGTGGGTTGCTGTACAGGATCAAATTGTTCCATTGCCATTAATGTAAACAACTCCATGACAATGTCAAAACATCCATCACAAGAAAACAAATATGCCAAACCCTGTCATAATTAATCCTATTATGAATAACAAGGTCAAACTTCCATTGTATCTAAAAAATTCAATTAACATATAATCTATCATCAATCTTCATCGTACGAGACTCATCGTTTAACTGTGTACAGATATATCATTGTTTTGACCATATAAGGTAATCTAGTTCAAACAAAAAACGCCCCTTTCCTTATATGGTAAATGAACTAAACATATAATTTTATCAACGTTTATTCAACACGATGTGTTCGACACAATTGGATCAAGATTTTGAAAAATTTCTCAATTATCATGGTACAAACTATAGTGATCCAAATCTACTCAAATATTCTATGTTCATGGATTTTTGTAAATTCAAAGGATTTGGACAATATACTTTTTACGAAGCATACATACGATGGATACACAAAAACCAAAATACAGTCATGGTCCCATACATAACCAAAGTGTTACCCGTCGAAGCAAATTGTCTAAAATTCGAACAAAAAAAAACCACAGCACCGCCACCACCACCTATGGCTGAACTGAAAGACATCGATACACAAGCTGATGAAGCTGCGAATCAACTGATATCCACCTACCTAAACGATTCATTCAACAGTTTATCCAAAGAGCTGTTCACGACAACAACAACAAATCCCTTATCACCACTTTCAACAATATCTTCCCATGCACCGCCGCCAACCGAAAAACCAAAATCCCCTACTATTGCTCAAAAAAATATTGAAAAAATGAAAGAAATATGTAAACCCGCACAACCCACAACTAAATGGCGACGTGTGGCGAATATCACGCCTCACACCAATGACAATAAAAAATGTGCAGGCAGACCCACACGACACGAAACATTGACTACAATCGCTAATCAATCCGATGAAGAAAGCACTATATCATCAAAAGAATTCATTCTATACGCACTAGACGGTAGTGTAAAGAAGAAAAAAACAGTTCTTACATGCTCACAAGATGATATCATACTACAAAGTATGAAACATTATAAATGCTATAATAGGTTTTGTTTGTGGAAACACCACGTAAATTTATTACTGCAAAGCTTTCGATCCGTAAGCCCGGATCTTCATCAGTGCTAATAATATGATTAGCACTATAAATATATATATATATATATATGCACTATACATATATATACTGATATACTATATATATACTAATATATATATGCACTATTTGCATATTATTAGCACTGATGAAGATCCGGGGCTTACGGATCGAAAGCTTTGCAGTAATAAATTTACGTGGTGTTTCCACAAACAAAACCTATTATATTTTATCACCATGCAAACATACAAAGAACTTATTATAAATGCTATCAATTCATCAAAAAAATATTAAATTCAATCAATGCTATCAATGCAACAAAAAAATATTAAATTCAATCAGAGAACATAAAGATACTTTAGAATATCTCATTTACATGGAAAAAATGTTAGTAAAAAATGTAAAACAAAATAACTTTACTAATAAATCTTTAACTTAAACCAAACAATGTCCTTTTTACCCTAATTATCCCTTATTACCATCTATTACCCCACACAAACCCAATTACCCCTCATTTTCCCTCACTGCGCTCCCATTGATCCGACCCGTGTGACATCACTGCACCCATTAAATGGCGCGCACTTTCAAAATCCCATCACTTCAGTCGACCAAGGCTTTGGATGCGGATATCTACATCGACTGTTGCCATAGCGATGAGTTGGGTGTGGGGACCAGAAAGACATTAACAAACACCCATTACATTATACATCAATTAACCACTAACCATGTGACCTACAAAATCCCCCCGTCCGTACAGCCAATGACCCGCCCTAACACACCCCAAAATGCCCACACACACAATACTATTCCCTATTAATTTCTTGCTGGTTCCCCCCCCAAAAAAAAAAACCCCAAATATATATATATATATATACTATCCGTTTTTTCAAAAGTCTTAGAACGATTAGTATATAATCAATTGGATAATTTTCTTGAAAAGTACAATATAATGTACAATTATCAATTTGGATTCAGGAAAAAGCATTCAACAGAGCAAGCAATTCTCGAACTTACTGATAAACTAAAATCTGCGATAGATAATAAACAACTAACGTGCGGTCTATTTTTAGATTTTTCAAAAGCCTTTGATACCGTTAATCACAAAATCCTTTTACAAAAGTTGCAAAAATATGGAATACGAGGTGTTCCACTCCAATGGTTTAGAAGTTATCTAACTAATCGCCAACAATACGTTAGGATAGATAACACAGACTCTGAAATGTTAAGAATGACTTGTGGAGTTCCACAAGGATCAACACTTGGACCGTTATTGTTTTTGCTGTATATAAATGATATGCCTAACTGTTCAAAAAAGCTATCCTTCCGAATATTTGCTGATGACACAAATGTTTTTTTACTCAGGTAAATCAGTTAGTGAAATTGAAATAGTAATGAATGAGGAAATTAAAAAAATTGATAACTATTGTGCTACAAACAAACTATCAATAAACTATAACAAAACGAACTTTATGATTATTGGCTCAAAACAGAAAAAGATTGGTAAAATCCAAATTGGAAACATAGAACAAACACAATACATAAAATACTTAGGTATGTACATTGACAAACACATCACTTGGGAACAACAAATCAAACACGTGAAGGCCAAAATTTCCAAAAATACTGGCATCATAAACAAATTAAGATATTACCTTGATTTAAATATGCTTAAGCAACTCTACTATACCTTAATTTACCCTTTTATAAACTATGGACTAATGAGCTGGGCCAATACTTATACTTCTCATTTAACCAAGCTTCGCACAGCTCTCAACAAATGTATTAGAAGCATATTTTTTGCTCACAAAAGAGAGGATGCCACTCCTTACTATAGCCTTTTGGGAATCCTAAAATTAGATAATGTCTTCAAGCTTAAAATAGCTAATTTCACTTACAAAATTTTAAATGAACCAAGTAATGTACCTAATATATTTTCCACATATGTAACGTCAGCTTCCACGTCACACACCTATAATACGAGGTTTGCTTCAAAAGAAAATTTTAGCAGACCAAAAGTAAGAACTAATTATGGAAAATTTACATTTCAATTTGCTTCATCTAAAATATGGGAATCAGTAGATTACACAATAAAAAAATCTAGCTCATCCTGTCTGTTTAAGAAACACTATAAGCAATCGCTCCTATTAACTCAAATGTAATTATAGAGTATATACAGTTGTGAATTCGTTCTGGCGCCGCTCCTTTCTTATTAGTAGCAAATCGTAGGCAGTGGACAACTCGAAAGCACTATGCTACTTTGTCCACTGCGCACGACATAATGAATTATTAACTCCAATTTATATCTACTACTCACTATAACCTTATTACTCTTCACTTTTGTAAATAATCTATATGACGTGCGCAACTTCAATAAAAATTGTAAAAAAAATTGTACAACACTACTGCTAAGTTAAGTGTGCACATGACAACTGAACCATGAAATAATGTCATTGTTGTAAAAATGGCAATTCTTTGCAATGCCAATGTCTAATTGATCTTCCACCGTGTAGGATTTATTTAAATTCTGAAAATTTTCAACCATATAAAGTATCTGAATAAGCACTTACCATTGTAATGTTCTTTAATACTGATGTTCATTGAATTTATAAGTTTGCCCTTGATGGGACTGCATGAACATTGATACACCCATTTCGCAGTTCCATCAATGAAACGATGCAAGCTTCTCCGGATTAAAAGAAAAGTTTTATTCTAGGAAATAGGGCAAAAATCAAATTTAATTTTTGGAGTCACCATGTGTGTTTCTGTAGAAGATATCAGTGTTTGATTCCTCAAATGACCTAGCTGAAAATTTAAGCAATTTGTACAAATTAGATCACATTCATAGTGAAACATCTTCAGTATATAAAGTGTAAATAATCAGCTGCACATGTAAGACAATAATACATGTACACTGCATATCATATGAATATAAAATACAGTACCTTTAATTGTCTTATGAAATTGTCATACTCCTGAAGTGCAATAACAGTAAGACTTGCATTCACAGGTAGCAAAGCATTTGATCTGCATACTTCAACAACATAGGTATCATGATGGCTTATCTGACACACAACTGCTTGTGACGTATTGCTGGGTTGGTTAGGCCACAAACCACTGCAAGTGATATTCTATTGTACAATATGCATAAAAATAATTAAAAAATAAAATGTTTGTAAAACAAATTTCAAACACTCATTAATAATTCATAAGCTTATTGGCAAATCATGTCAACCTTAATATGTCACATGCAGTGGCTTTAAACCTGATAAAACACTCCTAATTAGTATTCTTTATATAAATAATACTAATCAGGCAGTATCTATTGTAGTCGTGTCCTCATTAGTAATTTTTATATAAAAACTACTAATAAGGCAGTATATCTATTGAATTTGTAATCGTGTTTGAAGCCGTTTAATAAACTCGCGGGTCGTGTTTTATTAGGTCTAAAGCCACTCGCGCTGCGCACTCGTGTCTTTAAACCTAATAAAACACTCCTGCTCGTTTATTAAACAGTACCTCAATTTCAATATTTGGCCAGTGTGGGTAGTTAATAACAACATCAAAAGAGCCTTTGGTTGAAACATTGATTTTTGTTGTACCGATATTGTGTAGGTAGTATTGAGTATAGACGTTCTCTGGTTAAAATATTTCTTTTTTTTACAAGCCTTCGACTGTCAGTCTACAGTCTTCAACAGGTAGATTATAATGAATGTGATGCAAGGTTTACAATTACATATACGGTATACACAATGACGTAAGTGACAGCTATACAATATTGTAGTGGCTATGTTACACAGGAATGATTAATGTTTATTGTTGATAAGAAATCTACACTGTCTAATCTACCCATTGAAGACTGTAGACTGGCAGTCGAAAGCTTTTAAAAAAATAAGTATTTTATCCAGAGAACATTTATATTCAATATGAATAATCCTGGTTTTGCATCAAACATATTTAAATTTTTTTAGGTAGTACTTGGAACTTTTGCTGCACTTTTTAAAATGTTTGTACCTGTATCGCACAGGACATGCAATACATTAAATATTGTGAGTAAAAATTTTGGCAGTATGGTGCAAGCAAGATTTATATAAATTACCTTAAAACAATGAATGCACTAGGTATAGTAATGGTTAAGTCATAAACAAAGACAATTATTTATATGACTAATAAAAAATAAATAAATGAAAAATTGCACCGAATCTTAATGGTATTGCGACAGTAAAATGCAACCTAGCTTTATCAGCGTTGACAAAGCATCTTACTGTATAAGTTTTACCACATAAAACAAGGCAAAAGGGGACTCTGTGACATAGCCAGGATATTTAGTTCAGCAGAAAAATACCCAGGAGTAGCCAAGCAATTTTAACCAGTAGCAAACGTTCTACCAAAGGGGTCTTAATTGCTCAAAATGTCAAATCTTGTTGTACCCTTTATAATGTTTTAATAATGTTTTAATAAGATTCGGCAGCTACCTAAAAATACAACAATGTAGTGCCAGGGAGTTCGCCACATGTTCCCCCAATTACGGCGATCCCTTAATACTTACATAAAAATTACGTTCAAATAATTGATTAACGAAACAGACAAAGTAGAACAAAACAATCACAAAACGGCTAAACTGACAACTAACCACAGTTTAAAACACCATCAAGGGATCTAGCCCCTTTTACATTTAACACAGACATATTTCCAAGTCCGAGGATCGTCACAGGTATATATATTCGTCAAATATATTCTACTGTAGGTAGTGAGTAGAATATATTTAGCAATAGCTTTTATGGATGTCTTCTAATATTTATTAATATTTTAAAATATTATAGGACAGGATGTATCCATAAAAGTTATGGATAAATAAATTATTGTTCGCCATGCAAAGCTATAAATTACACATAGTGAGTAGAATTTTGGCTGCATTAATTGGATGTTTGGCCATGTATTCAAGCAATTTTACCCTGTGCTAATTGAAACATAGTTTGAAACAACACAATATGACTGGTATTTAGACTATTCAGAGAACATTTAGAGGGTAGGAAGTACTGTTTATTTGGAGATTTAACATCTGGAGTCTGAACAGTGCGATTTTTAGCACTTTGGAGGCTATTATGTCCTGTTTTTTGTGATTTAATACTGTAATTTACGTGCTGTTACCATTAAATATTTATCAGATTTTGTATACTTTACTACCTCAGGTGTGACAGTACCAACAGCACTGGTAGTTTCATAATCACCAATATTTTGATCCAAATCAATGGAAGTGTCATCATGAACGTCTGGTTCGTCTACTTCAGCAGAAAAGGAAGCGCCAGTTACTTTCGATCTTCTTTTCTGCCTGTGTTTATCTTTCTTCTTGTACTTCAACTTTGGCAAATTATCCAAATCATATTCTCCCTTTTCTCCAAAAACCTTTACTTTAATGTTGTCAATGTTTACACATTGTGAGTTTTTGCCAACCATGTTGTTTTCGGTATTTGGATGTCTCGTTACCAGACTCCAAGAATACTGACTCGGCTGTGGTTATTTCTGTGGTTATGAACACAAATTGTGACGCCTCAATAACTGTTAAAATGCCATCATTGTTTACAACAAAATCTTTGCTTGACCTTCTTAAAACTGGCTTAGCCCTCACCGGACATTCCACACAATAACCATCACCAAATTTGTCGAGCATGTAAAACCAAGAAGATGGCAGTGCAAAAAATCGGATTAAGTCATCTTTGTCTAACATTGACTTTATTTCCCGAGGAAACTTTATCTTGAAGTGTTCAATTCTGTTTGTTTCAATTTCAGGATTTTCATACAAAGCTCTAAAACATATATCATGTTGTATATAATTAGGGCAATATTATCAGCCATTTTTCTGTAAATAATATGGTAATGTTAATGAAGTTGAATATGTTTGAAAGAGACAGATAACAACTTGAAACACATTTTTGCGGCATATATTTTGGGCAGAGAAGTGCTCAAAAACAGTTCCGGTCGAACTGTGTAGAGGATCTCACTAACCTAAGTTTTATCTAGAGAAACAGGCAAATCTCTCGACTGCAGAGGGCATGCTTGACTCTATGCATGCCATTCAGTGAGTTGAGACCTAGTTGGACTTGTGAACAACTATTGGTATAGGGCACATTACCCAGGGTACTCTAAGCTGGCTGAGGATACATGCAAAAACTGTAGGTTGTTCTACAGGAACAGGCAGACCTCTAGATAATAGGGGAACAGATGAACCCCCATTTAGATCGGCCAGGCCATTGACATTGAGACCTAGTTGGACTGGTGAACAACTATTGGTATAGGGCAGATTACCCTGGGCCACAACAGACAACCTGACTGACCACATCGAGTCTCCAGGTCTGCTCATTCAGGTCTTCAGTGCGACCTGAATCATGGATGAATAAGATGTATTGATTGTTATTTCCACCACAGGAAGCAGCGCAAAGTCACCAGATCGGCAATAGAATAAAAATGGGTGGTTAAACAATAAAACTGCATGGCATGAAATAACAGGATGGATTTTTTTGTTAGTTTTTTGCTTTGAGTTAAAAGCATGTCAATATAATTTATATTTGCAAGAATTAATTGCAGACCCATTTCAGTTCATTGCAGACGCAGCCAAGTCCGGCAATATCAACAAGGTCAAAAGGCCCGAGGTTCTCAAGAAAATGCTGTTCACTTGATGCTGACACTTATGCTAAGGCTGAGTAATCAGAGAGGCCAGGAATAAACCTGCAGTACAGGAAAACCTGGGTTGGGCCAAAACCACCAGCAGCTCCCCACATAGCTCTATCTTTACAAGTGCAGAAAGAATCAGCATCATGGTAAACAGCACCATACCTAAGACTGCAAAATATAACGTCGGAGTGAGTAGTATAGGGAATGAGGGTTCTAGAGCACTTTTTCGGCCCGTGATCTCACCCAACTTCCGGTCAGCGGTTTCCATATTTTCCCCTCAAAAACGCGGGCTCATATTTTTCTAGACCATTTTTTATCTATTATTTTTCAGAATTATTTTAATCTTTATTATCATATTTAATTATACTCAAGGGGCCTAGGCTCTTAGGGTCAAACACATTACTTGAATCACCTTTTTTATCTTGTGTGCTCACTCCAATGTTAATATTATTTGATACAGAGAAATTTATATCACCAGACTTCCCAGTTCTAGTAGAACTCTTACGACAACCGCAAATCTTACCTAAGCAGGAGAAGCATGACCTCCACCTTGACATCTTATCTTATGATAAACCACATGTTAACTACCTGACCCCGAATATCGGAGTGACCAGCAAAAGGACATATCCATGCTAGTACCAGTGAGCATTGAGTGTTCAGGTTTAACTATAATACACCAGGCTAGCGTGTTATCTACCAACTCAGCCTGGGCTCCTAAATAGAACATACTATTATCCTTGAAAACGTAGCAAGCTGTACTTCCACCAGTAGTTGTGTAGGTTCCATTAAACCAGGTGTGTGACAGTCTTCTTAAGTCAACCGTGGCAAGGGTGATTTCCTTCTTAACCTGTGTAAATTTTCCGTTAGATTGTTTTTCCCATACAGTAGCCCATAGGATTAAAGCTAGGGGTATATTTAGAACAGTTGAAAAACGTGGGTAGTCTGTTTTTATAGTTATTGACTCAAGGTTCAGGTCTGCCATATTATTAATAGGATCTGTTCTCCATGAAGGTGGAATCTGATCGTGACAGTAAGCATAGTACCTTGCTGCAGCAACTGATACACCACGATAACCCCAAACCCATTCTGCATGTATATGTCGCCGTGTTCTTACATATCTTAAGTCAGCCGTTGCTTGAGTAAGACCAGTTGAAGGTTTTAGGAAATTCTTTTCTACCCATTGCTTGTTAACAGCATCCTTATCATTTACAGGATCCTTTAGATCGAGAATTCCACTTGAATCTCCCATATCTAAATCACCTTTCACCAGTCCACCTCTACTGCTCATGAACTCATCTATTGCCCATTTCTTATTAACAGCTGAACCGTCAGTAGTAGGATTTCCAACTCTAGTCAACTCGTAATCGTTAACATCTAAGTTACTAGCTAAAGTGCCACCATTACGCTTGAGAAACTGTGAGCACCATGAAGTCATAGAACCGTAAGAAACAGCACTAGAAGATCCAGTTGACCCACTATTTAACCCCGTAATAGTATTACCAGCCATGTCAATATTACCGCTCATACTAAAGCCACTACTACTTACAGAACTACCACTGACATGATCCGTGACCCATTTTTTAGACACAGCAGAATTATCGGTTGTGGGAGCACCTAACTTTATAATTTCATTGTTTCCCATATCAAGGTCATCAGATAGTGTAAGTCCACTGTAAGTCTCACGCCTTTTTCTACCACCGCTAATCTTATCTTCCACCCACTTTTTATTAACTGCAGATCCATCAGCACTAGGAGCTCCAACATTCACTATTTCATTTCCACCCATCTGCAGGTTACCAGTCATTCCAAGGGAGCCATCTGTTTTTACAAAGCTTCCTAGAAGTAAATTTAGATAGGATAGATTTACAAGGTGGTTAGAGGTCGTTGGACCCTGCGAACATGTAGGTGTATTTCTAAAACTAACGGTACCGGCAACATTTAGGGATCCTGTTCCATCTAACCGTAAGAATGTTCCTTCATTTAAGTTGAACCAACTTTTTGTAACAACAGACTGGGGGGTAGTTGGATCAGCAACATTTTCAATTTTATTTCCACCCATATCAATGTTACCTGTCATTGTAAAACCAGAAGTCTTATCGAACGTCGACAACTTACCCTCGACCCAGCCCTTGGACACAGCTTCGTTAGCAATCCTTGGGTCGGGTAGCCCGAAAAGTCTATATCCAGCCATTGATATATCGGCTAACATACGACCCCCGAGATTAACAAAGTTATTATCAACAGCCCACTTTTTTGTAACGGCAGACTGGTTCTCGGAGGGATCCTTAAGATTCTTAATCTCATGGTTATTCATATTAATATCGCCGGCAATATTCAGTCCAGTCACAGGTTTGTTTAGCATTTTAACTACCCAGTCCCTATTGACTGCGGACTTTCCAGTTGTTGGATCACCAACATTTTCAACTTGATTTCCACCTAATTTAAGGTTGCCAGTCATTACTTGAGTACCGTCAGTCCGGACATAGAGAGTGGCTAAGTATATGTCCAGGTTTCTTATCTGTGATAAAGTCCAGTCCTTATTTACAGCAGACTTTCCAGTTGTAGGATCACCTAAAGCCTTTATTTCATTGGTTGACATATTGAGATCATTTGTAAGGATAAGTCCAGGTAGACTTGCATGTACATGTCTACGGCTGCCTTCAACCCAGCTCTTACTGGCAGCGTCACCTGGATTAGTAGGATTATCAAGATTAGTTATTTTATTACCTCCCATGTCAATATCCCCAGTCATTGTAAACCCTGCAGGTTGAATTGTAAGGGCAGCCTGTTTAATGATCTCATCATCCACCCACTTCCTTGTGGTCGCAGAGGTATCATCTGTAGGTGCACCTAGACCTTTTACCTCATTACCATC